ATGTTTTAGGAGCCCCGATAATTCAAGTCGAAGGTACAAATGTGGACTTTGATACTATCTCAGTAGCTTCGTCATTCACAACTCCATTCATGTACCAACGTGAGTTGTGCCCACTCCATTCAAAATTATACCCGTTTTATAAATATATATATTTATATACGTATATGTATACATAAATTTATTCTTATACATATATGAGAATTAGTATATTATTGAGCGTCTGCAGAGATGCGTTCTAGCTTTGTTCATCCCATCTTGCCATGTATATTCATCATCGCCCGTCAGAACCATATAGCATGTTTTACCTGTATAAAAAAAAATACATGTAGAAAGAGGCATGTACATATAGATGAATATTTAATGCATGAGATTAACATTACAAATGCATTAATCATCTAAGTATTTATAATTATAGAAATTTGTAATTATTAATTTTTGTTTTAATTGTTAACCTGCAAGGTTTAGTGCTCTTTGAATAAACAGTGTTTTATTATTGTTTTTCATTTTTTATATTTATAGTTGTTTTTTTTGTTGTTTGCCATATTCCTGTAGATAGAGCCAGCTGCTTACTGCTATGTCGACATGAAAGCAGAGCTATAGATTGTAGTTTATTTCCTATTCAATTTTATGTTAATTTTAGATTAATTATTTATTCATACTCCTTATTTTATAATTCATAATTGTGGCTCATTTACTGTGGACTCCCTTAAAATGCTGTGATTACGACTCTCATCATAGAAAACTATTTTAATTATTAATTACTTATTAATAGACATTAGGTCTTAAAATAAATATATAAAATTAAACAAACAATATATACGGTTAGAATTACATGACACAATGATTTTGGAGTTAGACTGGTGCACTAAAAAAATTTATTTTGATTCAATACATTGTTCCCTGTTATCATCACCTTCAATGTACACTCCTCCTCTATGCCTATAACTTTCCATGTGAATCTTATATTATCTTCAAGATGAATGCTCCTTTCTCTTTCAGCATTTTTTTTTTTTTTTATCTTATGCCTTGATCGTCTAGAGCTCTTTCGGCCATGCGACGTCTAGCAGCCCAGTGAATTACATTTTCTGTCCTGGCTTTGTTTCTAATGTCCTGTAGTCCGAGACTAGTCGGTAGATGCAGAGCAGTCATGAATCCTTGTGGACACAGTAGACATGTTGCTGATTCGACAACTCCGATACGGTATAGATGTTTTTGGAGATAGTCATGTCCGGTTTTCATCCTGAACTGTGCAATGGCCTCACTTCTAGGGAGATTCACTGATAATCTTGGTTTCTCTTTCTGCAAGATTATAAATGTAATTATGTTGACTAATAGTTTGACCTTCAAGAACCAAGTGAAGTTGGTTGAATTTTGATTTGCCCATCTTAGCTTTTTTGGGATCTTCCAGTTCGTGGATTAACAATTCATTTCAGGATCATAAGCAAAATCCAATTTGACACTACCGTAAAAGAAACAAGATTTTTGTCTGTTGAAGCTGTGAAAGAGAAAGTGACACACGTTCTGAAGGATCTGACAGAAAAAGACTTTCAGCAGTGTTTCACTGTTCAATCAAAGGTTCCCATGGAGCTTTGTATGGATAACAAAGCGTATATTAAAATGAAAGCAAATAAATACGTATGAAATTAAAATAAAATATTTTACAGCTTCAATCTCGTTATTTAGTATAACATTTTATACCTCATAGATAGATATTGAGGGACTGCCTATGAGTATTATAAGAGAAGCAAAGCAAATTAGCCTACCAGTAAATGAATAACAAACTAAATATGATATTTGTGCGATTATAAGTCAAGATCTTTTCCTGAAATTTTCTCCTGTAAACTGAAAGTTTTGCTCATTACAAGGGTCGATTTATGTTCGTATTTGAAATTATAGGAAAATTTGAGTTAAACCAAACTTTGGACTTTGGGCTACTTTGAAATAGACAAATAAGGCTTTTACATCTATCAATATCTACTTCCCATTATTTTTCAACCACCTGTTTTAGGATGAAGTTCTGGTCAAGAACACTCCTTTCTCTTCTGAATCCATCTTTGGTAGTCGCCTTTTATTATTTTTTTTTTAATATGTTGTCCATTTTTGCAATATATTGGTCATTTTCTTTTTATTGATAGAATATGTTAAATAGAATAATTTATAATTATTTGTGGATTGGATGAACTAGCCAGGATGAGGATGTGAGCAGGCACAAGTGTTAGATGTTTGTCTGCCTTTGCGATAGATTGCACTATGTAAAAAGGCCGTTCTTATAGCCTTGGAGCAAGGGCCCGAAAATGGACCTCATCGCAGGCGAAGGTTGAATGTAAATTATGAATGTTTATGTTATTCTGAGTAAAATGAACATTGTCTGCCAATCCAGAGCCGCTTCTTTTAGTAATGGTAGCTGATTTAAATAATATTTGACCAGTAACTTGAAGATGGGAATAGGAAATGTATTGCAAATAATTTGCAAAAAGTTTTGATTTTTTAATTTGTATACTGAGTGTTTCACTTCTTAATGGCCAAGCACTGGAGAGTGATTCTAGACAAAATAACCAAAAAAAAAAAATCATTTGATGCACAGAGCGATTCTGAACAGAAAAAGAGTTAAGACCAATTTTGTATTTTTCTTAAGATGGTCACGTTGTTATTGAACAAGAAGGAATCGCTCAAAAACTGTTCAAGATAATTAAATTCTAAGTATACCATCGTTAAGTAGACACAATTTTTGTGAGAAATCTGTGATTAAATTTACTAAGATCAATGATAAAAGAAACTTTCAGGAGGTCTAATACGACTGACTGCTGTTACAGCACCCATACACTAGCAGCATATCTCTGTATTCCTGATTCGTACGCAGCAGTACAGTAGTCGTATTAGATCTTCTGAAAGTTTCTGTTATCATTGACCTTAGTAAATTTAATCACTGTTTTCTCAATGAAAGTTTTGTTTACTTTACCATGGTATACTTAAAATTTAATTATCTTCAATAATTTTTGAGATATATTTCTTATTCAATAAAAAATGTGACCATCTTAAGGAAGACACAAAATTGGTCTTAGCTACTTTTCCATTCAGAATCGGACTATGTATCAAAGGAACGTTTTTGTTGTAAATTTTGTCTTGAATTGCTTTTCAGTGTTTGATCATCAAGAACTGAGACACCGTGTATATAGTTTCAAACATATAAAAAACAAAATGGCTAACTCAGGCAACCAAGGGAAAATTTTTTCCACCTATAACTCATAAATTGTGTATCAACAGAGTATCTTAATTTAATAATTTGGTTGAGAGTTATGGTTGATAACTTAAATTACCAATTTTCCATGTAATGGTATATTACTAATTTCGAGTGGAGTAAGTGACCTGCATTAAAACTTTTGGTACTCAGTGGATGTGAAATTTGATGATTAAGGAAGTCATTTCCAAGCTTCAGGACCACTTATAGTGTAAGTCCCAATTTTCGACAAATTTTGTAAAATCAGCATTCGTTGAGCTTGATTTCTACTTTACCACTTAATGAAGTTATTAAGTTTAGGTACTGGTGTGACGCACAATTTAATGTTCTTTAATTTCTTAAAGAGTTCATTTTTCGCTTTGATGCACCACTTAGGATTTATAGGTGAAAAAACAAAAAAAAAAAAGATGGAAAAAATCCTTATTTTATTGTAGGCTAAATTTTTCACTTGTCCCACGTTAGCAATTTTGTTTTTTACGTGTTTGAACCCATGTACACATATTAAAAAAATTAAAGCTTCTTCCACATTTTTCACAATATATTTCCTATTTCGATCCTGAAGTTGCTGGCCTGCATTTTTGAGCGATTCTTTCTTATTCAATAATAATGTGACCATCTTAAGAAAAATACAAAATTGGTCTTAACTCTTTTTCTTTTCAGAATCGGTCTGTGCATAAAATAAACTTTTTTGTGGAAAATTTTGTATAAAATCATTCTCCAGAGTTTTGGCCATTAAGAAGTGAAACACTCAGTGTACAAGTTAAAAAATCAAAACTTTTTCCAAATTGTTTGCAATATATTTCCAGTTTCGATCTTCAAGTTACTGGTCAAATATTCTTTAAATCAGCCGTCATTTTTTAAAATAGGGGCTCTGGAATGTGATACAAGGTTCATTTTACTTAAAATAACATATACATTAGTAATTTACATTCAAACCTTCCTCTGAGTCCACTGGCTGCGAAGTCCATTTTTGGGCTCTGGTGCCCGCCAGAGCTATGTGTAAACAGGAAAGGCATTCCTAGTCAAAACATCTATCTTTCTAGTCCTGATACCTATCACAGGAATTAGTAGAATCTATTAAAACAACCTCGTGTGAAGAGATCCTAATAATAAAGCAAGATTTCTTTTATTTTTTAAGTATGATGGTTTTGATATATTTGTATGGTCACTTTAAAGTAAAAATTTGGTAAACATGAAATGTGGCCTATGTTATGCAGCCGCATTATATTCCTAAAAAAACAGTATACCTACTTAATAGTCCAGATTTTGAGGATTTATTGATGTACGGTCCACTCGAAGGTCATAAATTATTACTAAGAAAATGTACCTCTAGGCATACAAAAAAAAAGAAGATACTTCATCTTATAGATCAGTTGCACCTGACTGATGATTAATAAACAATGATTAATTCCAATGATAATTAAGTAAAATTAAATTTAATAATAATTAAAATTATGAGGAAAATGCTATAAAGGCAGTAATACTGATGGCGTTTTTTTTTTTTCTAAAATCTTTATAAAGATCTTCAATTACCTTTTGGAGTGCGTTATATGGGAGTCCATCATTTCTTTTATTCAATACTCCTAGAGATAGGTGTCTTTTTGTTGTTTTCAAGAAAGTAGAATACTCAGAGATACATTACTTTAAAAAAATTCCTGGAACTATTATCTATTTTATATTGGAGTATTGATTAATTAACTATTACTTAAGTTTTATTTATTAATCTTAACAATGTTGATTGATAATGTGTATCTGCCAGCAGTTACGACGCCCAAGGAGAGCAGCAGCCCATCTTTATCGCCTCTCAATGCTCATTCCTTTTCCAGATCTCTCGATAATTCAACATTATCAAGGTAATTTTTTTTTCTCATGTTTATGTTATATTATAAAAGGTAGATTTAGCAAATGCTTAGAGCTCTGTGATCTTCAAATATGAATTGTTTTCGAAGATTTTTTTTTTTTTTTATTGCCCAAAATCTATGAATCTATAGGAAGATTCCTGATGCTTATTTGAAATTTTATATAATTGTCTACATAACTTACTATCATATATCATGGGTGATAAACTTCCTTCAACAAGCTTACTATCACATAGCTACATTTAAAATAAAATTATATTTAAATGAAATCCTGTCACTTTTAGCAAACAATTTTTTCATCTATGTGGTAATTAAGGAAAGTCGTATAGGCACACATTTATTATATATATATTGTAATGTTCTCGTTCCCTCCAAAATTAAACAACCAGTTTCTTTTTCAATATCAATATCAAGGTTTGAAACAAAGCTCAGGGACACTACTAACATCCCAGAAAACCACATGCGATTCCAAGTGCACGGGATATGTTCATTACTCGTAGGAGTGAGTTTAGTCGGCCTAGTGCGAGTTGTTTCTAATAGGCTAACAGGTCTCACATACCCAGGGAAGCGGCATCTCAGACAGCGCGTTTTTTCTCAATGGTTAATTACCCAATTTTGGCCATCATCCATCTAAGTACTTACCACATTCGACTTTGCGTAATTTTGATCATAGCATGTAAGCTTGGTATGGCCTCGTGGCTGTCTCTCCCCCTCTATTTATTTGATATATAGTGTAATATTCTCATTCCCTCCAAAATCAAACAACCAGTTTCTTTTTCAATATAACATTTATTTCTCACACATATATAAATTCTCAGGTTGGGTTCTGACAACTGAACACTCATTCGAAATTAAATAACTGTAAGCTACACTAATTTACTATAAATTATACATATAAAAATTATAATTGTTTTCAAAACCATTGATTGTCCCTGTCTAAACTTTGTGGCTCTATCCCTCTGTCAACCTAAATGGCATTGTTGGCACTCACCCAAATGTTTACGCCTGTCAGTGAAATAAACTATTCTTATTTATGAATGTTCCGTTTTCAGTATCATTGAATTAATTTCCGCTAGTTCCTTCTTCCGACACAAAGTAATCACCACTAGTGGCCTCTATCAACACTCGGACCGGCTAGGACTCCTTTTGGATCCTCTCGACTTGCTGGCTGGTCACCTTCTCCTTTACATGAGCCTTGCTTCCCCCACCCTCTCACTTCCTGTCAGTAGTTCGTGATGTTACCACCTTCGTGCCAATATTCAAATACACTATGTAATGTTGACATTACAATAGCTATTTGAAAATAATAAACCATTGTGCAATAATTTTAATTATTTCCTTACTTAATTAATTGTTTACTGGAACAATTAAATTTTTTTTTTAATAAAGGCAATTTTAATTTTATGTTTAAATGATATGGAATTTTTTTATTTATTTAATGAAATATGTCTAGGTCTGTGGAACAACTAAGTTCTCCCCAGCTAGAAGTGGAACCACTAAGAAGAGGTAAACTTCGGGGAAGTGGAGGCAGCGTTCCATCGTCCTCGACGACCGGAAGGACTGGTGGCACCTGGGGGAGTATCAGCAGAGTCTTTGCCAGGAGCAGGCACAAGAAGCATCCAGCGCCTCCGACCCAAGAAGGTTTTTTTATAACTGTCATTTTAAAATTTTTCAAAATTATTTATTATAATTGTGGTCTGTTAGATCTCATAAGAAGATAAACAAATACAATTATGATTAAATTATGATATTAAATTTATTAAATAAAAACACGTGGTCGATCTTGTAGTAGACATCTCCCGGTATTTACTCCTTTATGTGACATTGGGTGAGGGAATGAGAAGGAATATATAATATATAGGAATGTGAGGTTGCACTGTGAATTGTACACAATTGTGCAGTGGACAAATCGTTCATTGGAAAATCTCATATCGATAAAGAAGGAAAAAGGTCCTGTCAGGTAGCAGCAGCTGGAAGACGACGCCAGGCACTTGAGGCTGGACATTGAGGCGGAACACATACCTGGGAAGAGAGTCTACTACAAGATTTAGAAGATCAAGTCTATAGTTATAACACTTTAATAGAGTCAATTTATTACAGTTGTAGAAATAAATCATTTTGTGATACAGGAGTGAAAAGTCATTTATTTATTTAGTTGTCCTATATGCCTCACGATAGAAGAATAACAAATCAGATGAGTCAATTCATTCAAAGTGTATTTACTAAGTCCCACATTTCAAATATATATTCTTATTGTTTCTTCTCACTCAGTGTCACAAAAGGTATTAGATTCCCGAATTCCCAACAACAGTTAAACACCCTCAAAAAGTCTATATCCAGTGCCGGGGTTTTGTTTTAATAATCACGAGTGTAAATAACCTAGTTCCCCGATATAAAAGCGGAAGGCTATTCGCTATTCCCGCCAAAAAACAAATTATTTAACAATTAACTTTTAGTAGATTATTTACAATCTGGAGGTTATATATTTTTATTCCTTTTTTTAAAAATAAAGAACCCTTAAAAAAAAAAAAAAAATAGAAATAAATACCCTTTCTTGGGTTGAAAGGGTATTTAGCCTTGAGGATGTTTGATATAAGCAACAAAGTTACATACAAACTTATAATATATACATTTTATTTTATGAATAATAATTACTAACTGTTTTCAATAAGTAGTTATATTCTAAAAATTTACACAAGATGAAGAAGTATTATAAAAAACAAATCTTGATACCTATTCTATATAGAAAGTTTTATTGTGAAGGTATCAGGATTCAGAGGAGTGGTGGGGAAGTATAGTTGCGGCACGTACACTCTTGGTTGTAAGAAGCTTGGCAGTTCTGTCATTGATTTATTCTTACAGGAAAAAAATTAATTGATTTTTATCTATTAGCAACCTTAAACAATTTACCATTATAGTTAGTGGTACAGATCTCTTTCTATCAAATTATTAACATCCGTCTGAAACTTCGTAAATAACTTCATCTCATCGTAACCTACAAATATTTTATTTATGAAAATTCTCGGAATTGTGGCGTTTTCAATCTGGAGATCGGCAAACTTTGTCTATTTAATTAAGTACTAAATACTCATAAATACCCAATTGCTTTTCTCTTAAATCATAAGATAATTTGGAAACAGAAACGAGAAAAAAAGTGTTTTTTAAACATATTGAGCCGCTTGGCTTGACCTACACCTCCAAATTTTCAAAATAACGAGGTTATATAGGACAAACGGCCCAATATTTTTGCTGGCCATCTTTTTTAATCGATTTTGTAATCAAATTACCTTACGATTCAAGTGAAAGCAAATGGAAATTTGCGAGTTTTTAATACCTAATTAAATAAACAAAGTTTGCTGATCTTCAGATTGAAAACGTCCCAATTCCAAGTGTTTTCGTAAATAAAATAGTTTTAAGTTACAATGAGATGAAGCTATTTACGAAGTTTCAGGCGGATGTTAATAATTTGAAAAAAAAAAAAGGGGAGGGGGGTCTGTCCCATACCACAGACTATCAACTCTTTTTTTTTTTTTGCCTCTTTGCATTTATTAGTAATTATTTGTATGTTGCTCTTTTTAGTCATGATGAAGACCTACAATGTAGGTTGAAACATATGCTATTAATTTCAGTTCATGTTGCAGATCCGTTTTTACTAAATTACTAAGATCTGCCTAAAACTTCCTGAATAGTTTCATCTCATCATAACCTACAATTGTTTTTATTTACAAAAATTCTCGGAATTGGGGCATTTTCAATCTAGAAATTAGCAATTATTTTCTATTTAATTAGGTTCTCAAAACTCATGAATATCCATTTGCACTTGAATCATATGATAATTTAACCACAAAATCGATAAAAAAGGTGGCCTACAAAAACATTGGGCCGTTTAGCATGACCTCCACTCACAACATGTTAAAGTAACGAGGTTATATAGATGAAATGGCCCAATATTTTTGTATGCCACTTTTTTTTTCCCACTTTGTAATAAAATTATATTATTATTCAAGTGAAAAGAAAATGAATATTTATGAGTTTTTAGGACCTCATTAAATCAATTAATTTAATGAGAAAACATCCCATTTTTGAGAATTTTCGTAGATAAAATTAGTAGGTTACGTTAAGATGAAGTCATTCATGAAGTTTTAGGCGGATGTTAATAATTTGATAAAAAGGAGTCTGTACCACCATGGACTATTACACCAAAACATTGTGCGGTTGTTGACCTTTCTCTCTGAATAACTATCCCTTGTATTATTTTTGTCATTTATTTGTTTTAGTATACACTCTTTATATTTATGTAGTTCTTTAATATACAAAATAACAAAAACTGTTTAATATTCTAAATAATTAAAACTAAATTAAAAATGTTTTAACAGAGGCAGTGAACGAAACGTGCAATCGAAGCTGGTCTCCACTGACTGAGGAGGGATACGCAGAGAAACTAAGGCTTCTCAGAGAGGCGAGTGCGATACCCATGGAGAGGTGGCGAGCTCCGACAGTTCTAGCTTGGCTCGAAATAGCTCTTGGAATGCCACAGTATGGGCATAAATGTGCCCAGAATGTCAAGTCAGGAAAGGTTAGACGAATAATTTAAATTGTTTCTATTTTATAAATTGACGTTGTTTCATAAAAAAAAAAAAATATATATATATAATATAAAACAGTCAAGATTTTTTAATAATATGCAGCTATTGCTCTAATATTTCACTTCTAGACAAAGAATTATGTCAACATTTGTCTCTTAACATTTCCATGTTTGATATCCATGAGTTTTGATTATGCGCGAATACAAAAATGTCGACCAATTCCACATTTGTGAATCGCATATTTGAAATCCAAAATTATTAACCAAAAATAAATACTAAAGAATAATCAATATTCAATAAGCATTTGTAAAATCACTACAATAGATATCTGATTTCTATTTATTACTATTCAATTTTTTCAGGTGCTATTAGAGCTTAGCGATGTAGAGTTAGAAGTCGGCTTGGGCGTTCAGCATCCCATGCACCGGAAGAAACTACGCCTCGCCATTGAAGAACACCGTAACCCGGCTATGATGCGTTATCCATGCATTGGCCAACTCGGTCATACTTGGGTTGCATCGGAATGGTTACCCGATCTAGGTCTGCCGCAGGTAATTCAATTTATTTATTTATCACATAATGAGAAAGGCAAGTAATTGTTTATAAAATTTTATGTTTTGTTTGTTTTATTTTCTTTTAACAGTATTCTGAAAATTTCGCTACGAATCTAGTCGATGCTCGAATGTTAGATAATCTTAGTAAGAAAGAACTTGAAAAGTATCTCGGTGTTACTAGGAAATTCCACCAGGCCTCAATAGTCCACGGCATACATCTGCTTCGTATGATGAAATATGACAGACAGGTAATTTTTTTTTCCTTTATATATTTTTTAATTATATGTATATTATTATTAACACTTTTAAATACTCAAATAATAATAATAAAACCGCATATTTGATCTCTATAGTCCTACTTAATTTGTTTTTTTACATCAACGTTTCAGCCCTTAAGCCATTATCAAGGGAAGAAACCTTAACAAATAAAATAATCATCACAGCCTAATTGCATATGCTAATTAATTATTTGCATTTAATATTCTATTATACATACTCATTTTAATAATTAAAAATCATTATGGACTGAATTGCCCTTGTCAACTTCATTTAACTTACCAACATTAAAACCTTCCTCTATAAGGTTATGTTTATTTCAAATCTCATTTCATTATCACAAAATAAAAATTAAATTTTGCATTATTAAAACCCCCTTGGCTAAACCAGTTAATAAATATTACTTTAATCAAATAATTTATTTTGTAGTGTTTAGTACTATTCTTCGATAATTGAATTAACATATTTGGAAATGAAAAATAATAATATGAAGTACTTTGTTTTGTATTATTTATTTGTTTTTATTGTTGTCTCTACCCTGCTGAGTCATTGGCAACACTTACTGTTTTGTATTAATAGTTGTAAAGATATTTTGTAAATTGCTTACAAAGCTTAAAACTATGATGTCTGAAGTAGGTAGCAAAGTCGAGTGAGTGAACACACCAGATATTTCATAAGTAATGATTTCATTTTTTATTAATATTATAATATATTTTCAGGCCCTGGCTGTCCGCCGTCATCAATGTGAGAATGTTGATGCGGATCCTTTGGTGTGGACTAATCAAAGGTTTATACGATGGGCCCGGAATATAGACTTAGGAGAGTACGCTGATAATTTAAAAGGTTAACATATCCTATTATAATTATTTCCATGATCTTGAATTTTTCCAAAAATGGTTTGCCAATTCATTTTAAGCCAAGCAAGTTCTCGTTTAAGTTTTTTTTTTTGTTTTTGTTACGCCATTTGTATTCTGAGTCTTAGATGGATAGATGGGTTAATATTAAATGTATCCTCATCTAGAATAAAGTATAGAAATAAGAATGATTAATAGAAATAAATCCTAAACATAATTTATAAAAATAAAGTCTAAACATTAATTTATAAAAATAAAGTCTAAACAGAAAATAATTTCCTTTTATATGTTTATAGTTAAACTTCAATATATTAAATATGATGGTTCATTGAAAAAAAAATTGTAATAATGTATACAAATTTAAAATTTTAATTTATAAAAAAATTGTAATTTTTCATCTTTGTTGTATCAAAAACAATTACAGTAACTTTCTAGGTAACTGTTTACATGTTTAACGTTAACATGTATCAAACGAAATTTTTCAGCTTATTATATTTTAATACTGCTAAATGCAAATAAATAGAAATGAAAAAATACAAATAAATAGAGAATAAATAATGTAAAATAAATAAAGAAGGAATAATGTAAGGAAAAAAATGAATAAAATAAAATAAAAGTAAGTTTTATTGAATATTTAATAGTTGACCGTTGCATTATAAAGGAAGGAGATGGTACATGGAGATGTATTGGAATAACACGAGAATTATGTGAGGATAGGACAGAATAGAAGAAATTCCTGAAAAGTGCGGTGCATGTGGTGGACAGTAAGGAAATTCCGTCCAGGAAGAAGTGGACGGAGGAGAGGGAGAAAAAATTTAGCAATATCCTCAAGCAGAGATGGGCAGAAAGGAAGAAATTGAAAAAGAAACCAATATCATAGTCACTTCAGGGCTGTGACATATATATATATATATATATATTTGACGCAAAACAGCCCTAGCATTTATTAAAATATTTATATTCCAATCAAGGCAGTCCTTGACAGTGTTTTTAGTGCACCTATTGAAGGTTTTTATCTTGTGAACCCATTGTTCCTCTACTTTGAAATTTGGCACATCTTTGGTCACCACATGTTAGAATAACATATATTTTTTAAATAAAAATCAAAACTTTTTTTAAATTAAAAACATAAGGCTTTAGTTTTCTTAGAAAAATGATATATTTTAAGAATATGGTAATGTAGTATATCAAAAGAAAGGGAATAAACAACTGAAAAAGATGACACCTGTTCATTCAGATGACACCTTCTTTTGTTACTTGTGAAAAATCAGGTCGGGACGAAACCTCCCTTTTTATCTTATCTTATGTCCCATAACCTCCTTTCTTATCTCTTGTAAGCTGTTGTTATCCTTCTGTTACAAGTCAGTTATTCCATTGTTTATTTTTGTTCCATTGTTTATTGTTTAAATGGATATTATTACACTGTGGGAATTGCCGCCTTCAGAAGAAGAAGCTATAAAATATTTTCAAAAGGCCGGGATAATTCCAAAGGTGAAATTCTGTGAAGAAGGTCATGAAATGAAGTTTGACATGAAGACGAAATGGAGATGTTTTCGTAGCAGTTGTAACAAAAACATATCTATAAGAAAAGGAAAGTGGTTAGAGTGGTCGAAGATTACCTTTTCAATGGCTTTAAAGTTAATTTATGGATGGTCTCATAATTTAAAAACAATACAGAGGGACAAAGAGCAGCTGAAACTATCAAACAAAAGTGTGATAATGTGGAACAAAATTTTAAGAGAGGTTTGTGTCCATAACATGTTATATAGGTCAACTAAAAAATTGGAGGGCATGGCAAAGTCGTTTTCTAGCTTACATAGTTTTTTTAGAAATAGTCCAAAAATTATTTCAAAAACATGCTGTTTTTTGGTTGTTTTTTTTTTATCTTTTTTAAGATTTATAACTCAAAAACCATAAGTAAAAAAAAAAAACTAAAATTTTATATTTTTCTTTATATTAATGCATGCAACAAATAACAAAAAAATCCCAAAATGCAAGATCAATAGATTCAAAATTTTTTAAACTGGTTGATTCGATATGGAATGACCCTTTAACCATCATTTACTGAAAACTTAGTTTTTGTCACTCTTATACCCCTTTGATTCTTGGAGTTTTATGCAACTACCTTACATTGATGTTTTCTTTTAGATTCCGGAGTTCATGGAGCACTCGTTGTGCTCGAACCGTCTCTGAATGGTGATACCATGGCAACAGCTCTCGGTATTCCTCCGTCTCGTAATATGATCAGGAGACACCTCGCTGCTGAACTCGAAGCGTTAGTGTTACCAGCAAGGTAGGCATCAGTCAATCTCTTTCATGAGCTTCTATTGTGTGTTTTGGTTGTGGTGCTAATGATTTTTTTTTTTTTTTTTTTTTTTTAACAAAGCTCGATTAATTTTTCATTATTTTTATTAAGGAGAGATCAATAGCTTTGCTCTGCGAGGTTCTTGATTTTTATTATTTTATTTTTACATTATATTTTGTCCAATTATTCTGAAATTTATTATATATATATATATATATATATATATATATATATATATATATATATATATATATATATATAAATGTATATATAATGAAAACATACTTGCATTACAATGTATTTATATTAGAAAAACATGATGAGATTTTAAGAATGTTTTATTAATAAAAATATATTATGATGTAAGTTTTTTTTTCACTATATATATATATATTATTTTTTAATTTATTTTTAAGAGACATGATAATGAGCCACCCATCTCATGAAATTTTTTTTTTTTTAGTTCTGTGATTTTCCTTCGGTTCAAGAGATCTTTTAAAATACTCTTTTTATGTACTATAATCTTGCAAAAAAAAAAATATATATATTCTAAACTACTCATAGAAAATTCCAAAACGTTATTAATAGTATTTTTAAAAATTCATGCTTTTTTTTTTATCATTAGAGTTTATAATAATCATCTTTATAGGAATAGCATTTTTCATGATATTTGGACATGTACGCTACAAATACAAAATATAGATTTTGAATTTGGTCCATCTGTCTGAAAGGCCCTAAACCTATATTGGCAGATGACGTTATTGGCATAAGAGGAGTTAGCAGTTTTATTTTGGCTTGAAACAAATAATGTACTTTTTACATATTTGGTTCCCCTATTAAACTTGTACCATTTTTAAACACCGCCTCTCTGAGTTGGCCGATCAGTACAATTATAATGGCGTGGGTGGACATTATAATGATGTATGATTAAAAGTAAAAGTTTCTTTAATTAAGTCACAAAATATTGACTTGACTCTTGAAATAATATTCAATACTATTTTCCTACCTTATCAAGAGAAGATGATGTCCGATAGACCTGTATTTTCAATATTATCAGTTGCAAGCAATATTTTAATTTTTATTTTTTCATTCGTTTAGTTTCCATCATTGTTTTTTCATGCTGGATTAGTTGTGTTAGAGGTAGGTAATACCTTGAGTTTCTTAGACACTAATCAAAACCAGACATTCTTATTGGTTTTTTATCTGTTTTTTGTTTTATTTTTTACCATCTTTAATAGGAAATACCCTTGCTTGGTGAAGCAATTTAATAAAAAAGGTACCAAATTTTTCAAGAAGATCCAACCTCTATTAAATCATTCAAAGTTTATACAGACATTTACAAAATTTCAATAAAAAAAATATTGATCTCTTCTTCTCGCTTTTGCTATTGGAGTGGTTTTATTTGAATATAATTGGTAATAAAACAAATATTTTTATTTGTTTGGTGGTGTGGGTTGGATTTAGATTCTCACCTTAGGCAAGTTTTCTTTTCTTTCCATTTTTTTTTTTTTTTAAATGTATAATTGAGTAAGTTATTTATGGGTTTAGCAATAATTGCTACTTTATTTAACTATATAAAAATATATTAGAATGAATATTTGAAGACTGCGATGGATTAAAGTATGTGTAGAGCGATTTCGGTTTCATGTGAGACAATAAATGTTAACTATATTTAGTATGATATTCTGCCTTATTGCCAAGAAAAACATAAATTATTGTAGATATAATGATACTGAAACCTCCTCTGTTTTTTAGTTATAGTAGTCATAATGAATAGTATATTGTGATTGTTTTTTTAATTTTATTTATTTTTTAAATAATAAGTGAAAAATAAGTATCTTCGAAAAATACACTCAAGGTAAAAGAAATCCAATAAGGAGACTGGTATTTTATTTTAAATTAAATACTGATTTGCAATTAGTTCTTTTTTCTTCTTTATACTTTTAAAAAGCATTAGATTTTCAACGGTTACTTGCATATGGGACTTCATCATTTTCTTATATTGGGGTTTCTTAAAGAGTAATGTTCTTCGAAACCAAATGGTATTTTTCTATTTGGCGATTCAAGGATTGTAGTTCTTTTTTTTTAAATGATCAATCCGTCATTTTATTTTATTCTGGTTATTTGTTTTACTTGAGATTGATGTGAAATGGTTAATTGTTTCAAATAAAAAAAATTAAAGGTACTTAGAGGAAGCTAATATTGAAAATTAACCATTTAAGCCCTGTTAGAGAACATCAATCAGAATAAAAACTACGTTTTATTTAAAACTGCTTAATTTTACACCAATATGAAGAATTTAATGAAAATCGTTAGAGCCGTTTTCGAGAAAATCGTAAAAATGTGTTTAGTCCATTATATTAAGTGCAAACTTTTCATTTTTGAGCTAGACTGTTAACAGACAGACACACACTCATGGACCATGTTGTGGGATTTGGTTATTTGGACTTAAGGGACTTCAAAACCTGAATTTTGGTTAAAAATTTGGTTTCAAAAATTTTCATAATCGCAATACTTTCCCTTACCATATATTTCATGTATAAGTAAGTGAAATTAAAAAAAAAAAAAGGAAGTGAATTAATTAATTGTTACTGTCTCAAGGAATATATAAAGGATAATTTATTTAAAATACCGCCTATGATTACATTTTAATTTAGAGTTTATGATAAATGATTAAAAGGAAATAGGAGTGTCTGTTATTTTTTTTTCCCTTGAGTGTAGTTTCATTAATAGTGAATTGAAATATACATGTATATTTTAAAAATGTGTAAAAAGTTGACACAAATTCATTTATCTTACAAACATTTGACAATTATGGAATATGTAAAGTAATTTAGTTTGAGTAGATTTGTCTCGATGAAGTAAAAAAGATAAAAAGAAATAAGTAGCCAAAAAGACAAGTAACACAATGTTCTGACTCTAAGACGATCAAAATCGTAATGTTTAAATTTTTTATATTTCAGTGCAATTAATTTAAAAAAAAAAAGAAATTATAAAGCTGGATTTATGCTGATAGAACACAAAAATTGATTAATAAATGGCAGTATCATTATTAAATATTATTCAGACTGTTATGCTTATCGATTTGCCATTACCAATTTCAATTAATTTTTTTTTGGTGATACTAGGTCGAAAAATATTAGACCCATGTCCAGAAAGTTCTTGCCAGTGCCCCCTAATAGCTGAGAAAAAAATTGTTCATATAATTTCAAACAATTTTTTTTCTGACTTAGCGCTTTGTCAAGATTTCAAGTTAATTATGTACTAATTGATTTGTTTAAAAGTAAAAAGATTATTTCTTATTGTATTAGTTTAGCTTAAATGTATAACAATTACAAAAAATGCTTCTAGTAAGGTAGATCAAGAAAAGTTTTGTTGTGAAAAAAACAGTCAAATTCGTTTTTAGCATTCTTTAAAGTTTTTTTTTAATAAAAAAATAAATAAATAAATTTTGAAAGATCTTATTTTCTGTCATTTTCTAAAGTCTCTTTAGAATTTAACTCTTTTGAATTTTATCCTAATTTGACATTATTACAATCATTGGAAAGCTCAATTATTTATCTTCCAACCTCTAATTTCCAACTTTCCAACAATTTAATTAACATTCGAGAAATTACTGAACAAAGTTTTCCAGATTAATTAGTATTGTTAACATATGAGGTTCATTTTCAGATCTTCATACCATTCCGATGGCTACCACTAAATTATATAATAACATACCAATATATATCTGTATATTGGATGCAAAGTTTAATACTAATTGAATATATCATAATATTTCATGATTGATCCCATAGTCTCATCTGCTTATATAGAGACTTTTATTTCGGTTTACAAATTGACATAAGCTTCTTCAGAGATTATTTTTATACATAGATCTTAAGAAATTAACCCTGCTTGCTATAACTTGTGACCGTAAACTCATTATGTTTGAACCTTTTAAACTGAAAGGCAATGCATCCTGGATCCTTAGGAAATGGGCATTTTGGATAGTAACTGATCTTAGCAAGGGATATGTAGTCTTCCTTCTTTAATCTAAAGAAATAATGAACAAGTAATACTGACTTACTTGACAGACATTTTGGATTCAATTTTATGTGATGCTACCTATTTATTACGATGATATTCCCTTGAAGCATGAATCCAGCTTAATATAATCACTGACATGAATTTGAAAACTTTGTCTTTTTTCTTCTGTCCATAAATTAAAATAAATAAAAAAAATCAATTTTTCATAAAATTTAAAAATTAGTAGGTTAAAATTATATATGGATTTTCTTGAAAAATAAATTAGTATAATAATTTTCTGTTTTGTCTCAAATTGCAGACACGAGGTTCTTGCCAATCTTTGAACATCAAGGTAGATAGAGAGAATAGCCAATTATATTGCTATCTCACCCAAAACATTACACAAACACTGACCAACAGAGTTCAATTTTTTTTTATTTATTTTTTTTAGATACATTAACAGCCGTTTTCGCTGTTTATCGATTCTCTTATCTATTAAAATAAAAATTTAAAATCTGTACATTCCTCAGTTGTTGTTTTATATGGTTACTGTGTGAATTGGATTTGAAAAAAAAATAAAGATAAGATTTAAAAAAATAAATAATGTATAGGATACTAAAATAAAATGTTGAAAAAAAAAGGTTTAAAAATGATGTGTAATCGATATATATATTTCAAATTAAAACTATCCATGTGCTCTAACTGTTAGGCAATTGTATGGTTGTTATATTTATTTTTCGAACCGTTCTTTATTTATTTATTATGTAAAATCATTATTTAAAACAATTCTCGTGTCTGAGGAATTTATATTGTAATCATTGGTTTACTAAATAGTATTGATTTTGAACGTAATATTTGTAAAAAGGTAAATTATATTTACATATGGAAAGAAAATTAGTTCAATTATTATGATTTCATTTAATTTTGTTTTCAAGGCGTAAGGTAGGTAGAGGGTAAAACTGGATTCTTATTATCTTTTA